CATCGACTTCAAAAGCTACCGCACCGAAGGTAGTCACATCAACATCTACCTCGAAAGCAACTACATCGACAAGCAAGACCAAGACGGACGGAAAGGCACCTGTCAAATCGAAGAAATCAAAGGATGATGAGTTTGTGGTAGATTTTTCCGAGGAGGAATCAACAGAGGAGAGTGAAGACAACTATGAGGACGAGGAAGACATCAAACATGAGAAGAAGGGCAATGGGCCTGTGGACAACAAGATACGCTCCTCAATCATTAAAGGAGATCTGCGGCAACAAAGGACAGGTCGATAAACTACAGCAATGGCTTCACGACTGGTAGGTCTACAGGTTAACGTCTCTCAAAATATTCTCGCAGGTCAGATAGTTCGAAGTGTGGTTTCAAAAAGCCGGGGAGAGACGCTATGAATGTCTGCCGCGCAGTAATGATCACTGGCCCGCCTGGTATAGGCAAGACTACTAGTGCACATCTTTGCGCCAAGCTCGAAGGCTTCGCGCCCATCGAGCTTGATGCAAGTGACGCATGCAGTAAAAAGTTAGTTGAGGTAAATTGGGAGTGCACCCTTACCCTTTCACTGTACTCACAAATGTGCAGAGTGGGATGAACATCAGCAACCTGTCGTCAGATGGATGGATGGATGGGTGGAAACGATGTTTGTTGTTTCCATGCTCTTCGTCACGTCGATCTAATATGTCACTAGGCGACAAACGCAGCAGGAGTCAGAATCACCGATAAGACGTGTCTCATCATGGACGAAGTCGACGGCATGTCCGCTGGTGACAGGTGGCGTTGGCGCTCTCAACGCCTTTATCAAGACAAAAGTATGTTTTGATCCGTCCACTCGAGTAAACATCTTACCTCGTTATTCAGATCCCTGTTATCTGTATTGCTAACGATAGAGGCGCCCAGAAGCTGAAGCCACTCATCGCGAATACTTTTGGCATGACATTTAGACGGTATGTGTTGAACTCGACTTTGGCCGTAACAGGAGCTCACTACGGCAACAGGCCCGAGGCTCAAGCTGTCCGATCACGCATAATGACGATCGCGTACAAGTAAGTTGTCCTTCAATTACATTGACATCATGGTGATGTCGTTGACTAGGGAGAAGATGAAAATTCCTGCCAACGTCGTTGATCAGCTTATCAGTGGTTCTCAGTCAGAGATTCGACAAGTTTTGAATATGTTGTCGACGTGGCGATTATCTAGTAGTAGCATGGACTTTCACGAGGCAAAGAATCTGTATGTGTGCTCTTCGTCGTTTGCCATCCACTAATTATACTATAACACAGTGCAAAGATCAACGAAAAGTACACTATCTTGACGCCGTTCGACGTGACGTACAAAATTCTTGGTCCGTACGCGTTTGGGCCAAACGTTCGAGAGACACTGGGCGACAAGATGGAATTGTACTTCCACGATCATTCTTTCGTCCCGTTTCTCATCCAGATAAAACACACTGTTTCCGAATGCACGAAAGCGCTCACCCCCTCGTCAGGAAAATTACTTAAAGACTCAACCTGTCAAGGTTCGGAACCTCGAAGGGCTTCCGAAGATGTTGAAGCAACTTGAGTTGATGGATCAAGCTGCATCTTCTATATCTGATGCCGATCTCGTCGATGCTCTGATTCATGGGTGAGCAGACCGTATAGCTCTTTCCATCGGATCTTATAATGTCCTTCAAGCCAGAACAACACTGGTCATTGATGCCATTGCATGCGGTGTGTTCGATGGTGCGACCTGCTTCATTCTTGTTTGGTCCAGGCGGCGGATACGGCGGCCAAAACCCAATGACGTTCCCTCGGTACGCTTCCCCCGGATCACTACACACGTCATTCATATGATACTTGCACAGGTGGCTAGGACAAAATTCGAAACAGAACAAGCTTAGTCGACAACTGGGAGACGTGCAGGTCCGAATGCGACTCAAAGTCTCTGGGGACAAGCACGAGATCCGACAGTCGTACATCCATGCACTGTTCCCTCACATCGTTAAGCCATTGATAGATCGAGGCGCTGTGAGTCTTGTCGCTTGCTCTTCCTCCTCGTTGCTTATCATCATGTCCTTCATAGGCCGCTGTCGACGACGTCATTGAACGGATGGATGGATATTATCTTTCCCGTGAAGATTGGGACACTGTCGTTGAGCTTGGCGTGGACACGCAGAAAGACGATGTCGTTAACAAGCTCATCAAACCTACGACAAAGACATCGTTTAGGTTCACCAATTAACCGCGTCTGATTGCCGCTAATGGCAAGTCCAGGTACAACAGCACGGATCATCCAATACCCTTCCACAAAGCAAGAGACCTTAGGAAAGTACCTAAAAAACTCTTAGGAGGTCCCGCGCCTGATCTAGAGGACGTTTTCGATGTGGGTACCCTAAGCATGATCGTCACTGTACACTAACATCTCTTCCAGTTGGACGATGAAGTCGTCGATGTGTCTGATGACGAAAAGAAGAAAGTTAAGGATGAGGATGAGGTCGCTGCTGATAAGCTGTTCCAAACTAGTAAGCCCAAAACTCAGAGTCGGAAGGGTAAGACGACTACAGTCAAAGGCAAGAAGGCTCAGAACTTTATGTGATTTAAGTATCGTGGACTTATCTTTTCACGGAGTGCTGGCTCGTTTTTATTGCAAGCCTGAGGACGACGCAGTGGGGAAGACTCAATTCAGCATGCTTGCTCAAAGGCCAACTCCCGTGACACCGCCCGCTACATTGGAGTCGACCACCTTTCACTCATCCCTTTTTCCAGCTTTCTGTCGTGTTTACTCAGTTGGAACGCCCTTAGTTCTACACAATCTGTCTGCAACTGACCCAGTACTCATACATGCAACTTATATATAACTTGATGGTTTCCTTGGCCTTGAACTTTCGATCAGATCAGAAATAATATGAGTTGATGGTCTAATCCAAGACAAAAGCAGTAGTCAGAAATATTGGTTTTCAAAAAACTTAACAATTGCTAAAGGAGCCCTATCGCCCAATTCGGAACCCTAACGCTTCTTTTCAAGTACAGTGACGAACGCACTGGTCGTCGAGTTCATCTAGGAGCACTTTGTGATGGCAGCACGAGTAGAACCACTTTCGATAGAGTCCTTGCTGCAGAGACAGAAGCAGGAACGTGAGGCTGCTGCAAAGGTGATTCTGGCCATCTTACGAAAATGGAATGCTGATTTAATTCATGTACAGCCTAAATTCCTCTCAAAAGAAGAGCGTGCAAAGATAGCTATTGCAAAGCGTACTGCAGAGCTCAGAGAACAACGGGAACGCGATGAGAAGTCACGAACGGACCGTGAAGCTCTAGAACGTGAAGCTGAGGAATTGAGGCAGCGGGAGCAGGAAAGGGAGCGTACTGCTAGGTACAGCAGTGCTCCTGCTCGACGTATGATTTCTTCTCATTTCGCGCAGCTGGTATTGATTACTCGCTAACAGATGATGATAGAGAGTCAAGATATGGACATCCCGAAAAGGATACCCGACATGGGCACGGACATGGACATGGACATGGACATGGACACGGGCGGAGAGGTCGAGGAGGTGGACCCCCTCCAGACGACCGTCGTGCACAACCCCCACCACCAAAACACATACCAAATGCTCCAACAGGTCCAAGGGCCGACCGTCTCAAAAACTCAAACACGCCTTCTGGTCCTGTTTCCTCCAGCGCATCCCCTGCACCCATTAGCAATGCTAATAGCACCAGCAATGTGAATGGGAGCGATCCTCTTTCGGGACCCAGTACATCCTATGTACCTCCTATGACCGAGAGCGACCTCAATGCCGTACGTGATCGCTATCTTGGTGTGAACACCAAGAAACGCAAGGTCCGCAAAATGAATGACCGGAAATTCGTCTTTGATTGGAACGTGGAGGAAGACACATTCTCGAGCGATTCCCCTGTTGCTGTTGGTGTGAACCGTCAAGGTGCGCAGGTGATGTTTGGTCGTGGCCACGTTGGTGGATTCGACGACGGCGGTGGCGAGAGGGTTGGTCGAGGCGCTGCAACTGCCAATTTGGCTGACGCAATGGAAAGAAGGATGGCAGCGAAAAGCGGTCTTGATGAGAGGCATTGGTCGGAGAAGCCGTTGGAAGAGATGAGGGAGCGTGACTGGCGGATATTTAGGGAGGACTTCAGCATTGCTGCTCGAGGTATGTCTGCTTATTCATACGTGTTGGTCGCGGGCTCTGACGATAATCTCAAGGTGGTTCGATACCCCACCCCCTGCGTTCATGGACAGAGTCACAGATCCCACAAAAGATATTAAGTGTCATCGACCAGATTGGTTACAAAGAGCCATCTGCTATCCAACGACAAGCAATTCCCATCGGACTGCAGAACCGCGATATCATAGGTATTGCAGAGACAGGTGCATTGTTTCCTCTTCTACTCTCTTCATGCACTAACATTGCAACAGGTTCCGGAAAAACAGCAGCCTTCGTCATCCCTATGCTCACTTTTATCTCCAACATGCCACTTTTCACAGACGAGAACCGCCACCTCGGTCCCTATGCACTCATCCTCGCCCCTACGCGTGAGCTTGCCCAGCAAATTGAGGCTGAGGCACGCAAGTTTGCATCGCCACTGGGCTTCACTTGTGTATCTATAGTCGGTGGTGTACGTCATCACACTCTTCTCAAGTATCGGAATTTATACTCATTATCATGTGTCTAGCGTGCAGTTGAAGAACAACAATTCAACCTCCGTGAAGGAGCTGAAATCATCATTGCTACGCCTGGACGTCTGAAAGATGTTCTAGAGCGGCATGTGCTCGTACTCTCTCAATGTCGTTACATCGTCATGGACGAAGCAGACCGCATGGTGCACCTCGGGTTTGAAACTGACTTGTTGTTCATCCTTGACAAGCTCCCGAGCGAGACGATGGCAGGCGAGGATACTGGAGCGATGGACGTCGACGGCGAGGAAGTAAGGAAGGGTCGTACTCGGGTAACGACCCTATTCAGTGCGACCATGCCGCCTGCTGTCGAACGGCTTGCGAGGAAATATCTCAAGAGACCTGCTACCATCACTATCGGTGAAGCTGGTCGTGCTGTCGATACTGTCGAACAGAGAGTTGAATTTGTCAATGGAGACGAGAAGAAGAAGTTTGTCTCTTTTGTGCATGTCTTCGCGGCGCCAAGCTAATCACGCACGTTTGCAGGCAAGTGATGCTGGAGATTCTGAACAGTGGCCAGTATCCATCACCGATAATTGTGTTCGTCAACCAGAAGAAGACGGCAGACATGGTTGCAAAGGATCTCTCACGTGCTGGGGTATGTTGCTGTCATTTTGAAAGTTGGTCGCTGACGTTGGGTTTGAATTAGTGGTCCGCGGCAACGCTACACTCTGGAAAGACACAAGAGCAACGGGAGGCATCCCTACAGTCATTACGTTCCGGGGACTCCGACATCCTCGTTGCCACGGACCTTGCTGGGCGTGGTATTGATGTGCAGGATGTGAGTCTTGTCATCAACTACCAGATGGCAGGTACGATCGAAGCATACGTGCATCGTATCGGTAGGGTATCTCCCTTATCTAGGTTTTTAAGTGATTTAACGATATTAATGGTCCAGGTCGTACTGGTCGTGCGGGCAAACAGGGTACGGCGATCACCTTCTTGACAAATGATGACGACGAAGTGATGTACGTATCTATCACTTTTTTTTTGGTGGTGTTCTTGTTGGATCTTCCTTCGGGGAGTAAACCGATGGCCGCCTGAGCCAGGATTTCTTTTACTTGACTGAGCTCGGAACACGGCTGATTATTTCCTTCTGTAGGTACGATCTTAGACAAGGTACGAGCATTTTCCCATTCTCATATGTATTTGGTTCCGCTGGCACGACGCCGCATTTTTATTTTGGTTCTATCGTTATCAATCCACGATCATTTTTCTTCTCTATTTCTCTTTTTATCATGCTTGATATGTTTATCGATGTCCCCACTTGGTCGATCAGTGAGTGGGTATCCGGGATCCCGTCCTGTCCCACCACTCGCCCAAGCCCGTCGCTCTCCCTTCCGATGCTCTTTGACACTGGTTTCCCTTGTTTTTGTATCAATTTCGTCTATCTGGGTTTCTTTCCTGTGATTTTGCTGCTTATCTTGTGTCATCTGTCGAGTGGCGTCATGTGTCGGTGGTTTTTGCGCTGTCTTGCTCGGTCAACGCTAGTTTCGTTTATATTTACATTCCTATTTTGACTTGGAACGTTTGTGTTTACTAACTATCCTCTCACACAGAAATATCCAAGAGCCCCGTGTCCAAAGTTTCGGCAGAACTCGCCAAGCACGAATCAGCGCAGCACAAGGTTTCAAGAGAGATGAAGAGGAAGCGTGATGCTGATGATATTGGTTGAGACTAGGACCAAGCGATGTTTGATCCGAAGCGAGACTAAGTGTATACCGGTATGTAATATGGCGTGCTGCTGCGTGCGCTAGTGGTACTATGTATTGCGGTACATTGAGCTAACGGATAATTTTCGGGAAAATGGTTGTCCGCTCCGTACCTGTTACGGTTGCTACAGGGATAGGATCTGCCGTACTCCACGCGTTCAAATAAGGGTAAGGATCACTGATTGGTCAACTGCGACTGCGGTGGAGGGAGCAGCATAATATTAAATCCAGGTATCGGAATGTTCAGGGTGGTCCCCACATGATGCCAAGTGTCACAAGTCCTCGGACGTGAGAAAAGCACGGGTGACTACATCCACCGATCATTAGTAGTGAAATTACTTGTTTGGGATTGCCGCCTCCATGCCGCCTTCAGGAGCCTTGTCGATCCCATTGGGTGACGCGAAGAGGATACGGTAAGCAAGCGGAGAGAGCGGGTTGGCTTCGGCCATGACCGAGCATAGTACGAAACTGTACTAGTAGTGAGACTTTGATCTACCTCGAACCGGATCATCAGACGTCTTCGGGGGCCAAGGTCATGACTAGAAGGCTAGCCAAGGCTGAGTTGAAACTCTTTCTTACGTAGAGCGGAAAGCGCTGTCATTGGTAGTGTTCAAACTCGAAGCCTTGGCGCACAGGGAAGGCTACTAATCGCTTTGATTGGTAAGCGCTTGCCGATTGGATGCCGATCGGACCGAGATCTATGGAATTGTGGGTTTTCTGACGCGATATAGTTTTAGTCTTCCAAACCTTTCAATCACTTACACACTCAGCTCCAACCATCACCATCATCGCCCTCTTCCTCGTCGTCCTTCTCGTCGTCGAAGCTAGTGATGCTCTCTGCAATTCCAATGCAGCAACTTTCTATTTCTAGTAATGACCCTTCTCCACCTAGTAGTCCAGACTCTGACAGCGACCGTCATCCTAATTCTCTCCTCACCGTCCCAGACATCGACCGCAATGGTCGTCTTGCCACTTCAAATCCCATTAATGTCAGTTCAATTCCTACTCCATTCAACTCTACTAACTCCATTTTTCAGTCTTCAGACACCGCAACCCAGGCTCGTTTTCGTTTTCCCCGAAAATCATCTTCATCCGCTCTCAAGCAGCAGTCTCTAGGCACAACCTCACCCGCTAAACATGGCCCTCTTCATGACCTCAAACGTTTTCTCAATCACCATATACCTCATTCTCACACTC